GCAGGTGTTGCTAAAACAGCGTTGCAAGAAGTGGGAAAAGGTTTAGCAAAAGGTGCAGTTAGTAGTATTACTGGTGTTGATTTAGTGTAGTATAATATATAGTAAAATGTATAAACATTTAAATTTATATAAAGAAAAATTACCAAAAAGAAAAAGGAGGACAGATGATGATGATGTTTATATTAGAGGTATGTTTAACCCCTTCCTAGATACAAAAGGTTATGATGTTGATGTTAAAACAGAAGAAGGTAAAACGACGGCAGAGAAGGGAGTATTAGCAGACTTCCCAGATTTTGAAGGTATAGGGTGGATATTTGGCAGTGAAATAAGAGATTATGAAACACTACTTAACGACAGAAGAAACAAAATGACACAAACATTTAGGTATATGTTGAAACAGAACAGTATCTCATCGGAAAAGTCAGGCCCTAGTTCAATGTCCAATAACAATATAAGTAGAAGCGGTTCTAAATCGTCAGAAGAGGAAGAACAACAACAAAAATCGCAGTTGATGGAGGATTTACGACGTTTGAAGGAGTTTTTAGGGTTAAATAGAGATGTCAGTCATGGAAGTAGTAATAATAGTCATGAAGAAAGTGAAGAATTAGAAGAAGTTGTCAAAAAGAACTCAACACCGCCACAATCAAGCAGTTCGTCAAGTTCGGTTAGAGAAGTTGGACCTTTTACTAATCTACCTATTTCTAGACAAAGTTCAAGTCCTCAAACTGTTAATAGTTCTCCTCCTATAAGTGTTGCAAGTTCACGTCCGCAAAGTATCAACAGCTCTAGAAGAAGTAGCAACAGTGTTCGCCCATCAACGATATTAAGCAGTTCAAGAAGTGTAGCATCAACAATAGATTATAATTTTAATCAATAAATTTCTTAAGTTTATTAATGACAGAAGTAATAATTAAAAAGTCAGGTAATAAAGGTAAAAAATATGATGCAGTTATTGATGGTAAAAAGACCGTTTCATTTGGAGCTACTGGCTATTCTGATTTTACCAAACATAAAGATGAGGAGCGTAAGAAAAATTACATAGCAAGGCACAAACCAAATCAAGACTGGAAAGACCATAAAACCGCGGGGTTCTGGGCTAAACATATTCTCTGGAACAAGCCTAGCATTGAAGCATCCGTAAGGGATACAAACAAGATGTTCCCAAAATTAAATATCAAACTCAAATAAATTAAATATTTCTTTAATGCTACGCAATTTAAAGAAATATTAATATTATTAGATAAGATATGACTAACTACTTCGTAGGTGATGACGGATTTAAAACAACGATTAATGATGATTTATTTGATTTGTTATGGAATAGTATAGATAGTGGGGATGTTTCAACTACTGATAGTGAGAGTAGCGAGAAAATTATCAAGAGGGAGAAGAAGAAAGTCTATAATGACAAACTGAATGAGAAAAATAAGCAAAACAATTATTTTAAAGAGTATTTTAAGAAAAATAATAAATGCTATGAGTGTGAGAGGTGCGGTAAGATTATTACAAGTCTTACTAATAAGTCTAAACACCAAGATACAGACAGATGTAGAAGAATTTATGAAGAAAGACAACAAAAAGAATTAGAAAATCAACTAGTTAGGAAAATAGCAGGTTTCCCAGTATAATTAATATTAATTTTCTAATTAATATTAATTATGAGTGCTAATGATATTTTGGAGCGCATCTATTATGATTTAGAGCGTGGTTATGGGTCAGTTAGAAGTTTGTATGAGGAAGCAAACAAAGACGGCGCGGGAGTGTCTTTAAATTATGTCAAGGACTGGGTGAAAAAACAATCCATAAATCAACGTAGAAATTATAAGAATGATAACAGTTATTCGCCGCCTTATGCTAGGTCAGTTTATAGTGTAGATATCATGGATATGATTAGTTTAATGAAGGATACAAACACTTTCAAGGAAGAGTATAAACGTTATGGTTTTTTATGTATTGATAATTTTAGTAAGAAAATGCATATTGTGCCCATGGAAAATAGAGACGGTGTTGAAGTTTATGATGCCTTCATGGAGTGCTTTAAAGTTATGGGATATCCTAACAGTATTTACTCAGATGATGACGGGGCTTTTAACTACAAGAAATTACAGGATTTTTTGAAAGGTGAAGGAATAGACCATATCATAACATTGACACATGCAAATGTAGCAGAGAGAGCAATCAGAACTATTAAGAAGATGATAACGGACAGAGCATTAATTACTAAGGGGGCGTGGACAATATTGTTAAAGCCGGTTTTAGATAAATATAATAAAACTATGAAGCATTCAACAACGGACATGACCCCAGAAAATGCTCACAAGGATGAGAATGCGGTTGCAGTAAAAGCAAACTCTTTATTGAAAGAAAAGTATTTAAGAAAATATCCAAAGGTTGAGGTCGGGGATAAGGTCAGAGTGTTTGTAAAAGGAAAGGGCAACTACACTTCAAGAAAAGAAAGTCGTAATCAATGGAGTGAACAGACTTATACTGTCAAGGAAATATCAAGAGACCTACAACTTAACAAACATTATATATTGGAAGGTAGAAGCAAAAAATATAACAGGCATGAAATATTATTAGTTGATTAATTTATACTTAAAGACAAAAAGCCCTAGTATATTAAGATAGAAATTATGGGATTATTCAAGTTTGATAAGAATTGTTATGTATGTAAATGTCATAGGAATAGAAAGGTAGTGGTTTTAAATTTGGTTTTTGATGCTAGAACTGTTAATAATATTGTATCTTACCCGAGTTGTCATATATGTTCTGATATGATGAAGTATGAGTTAGAATATGAGAAGGAAGAATATCAAGAGTATAGTAGAGAGGCAAAGTTGTTTAGTTTTATCTATAATCATCTTGACACCAAATATAACAAAATAAAAACATTGAAAGATAAGAAAACCTATATGAAAGAATTGATTAGAAAGTCGGAAAGCTGTAAAAAAGGGATGCTTGTAAAGTTTGTTAATGACACTTACTATTTGAAAGGGTTTGATAAATATAAACAGTGGTTTTCTAAAGCGTGTCCTTCTACTGGGTATTCTATTTTTGATGAAACTGACCTAGAAGATGAGTTTTTTTATTATAGAAATGATAGAATGCCTTTCTATGATGTTTTAAAAAATCTATTCTATCAATACATTAAACATCATGCTATCGGATATAAAGACCACTTTGATTATATTGAAGTTATACAGTGGGTTCAACGTATTTTTTAAGTAAAGCAACCATGATATTAATATCATTACTGTTAATATGATGGTTTAAAATATGAAAAAATAAAAATGAAACAGACACCCAATAAAAATAATATACTTAAAGAGAGAGAGACTAATAATATTAGTATAAAATGAAATGGATTTTAGAAGGAGAAACAACGCCTCAAGAAATTAAAGAATTTATTAATAAAAGCCCACTTAGAAGTAGAGGTCATGAATTCTGGGTTAAGGCAAGCGATAAGTTCTTAGAAAAGCAGACGCCAATATTAGATAATGATGAAGGAAAAAAGAACGTATTGACCTTTTATTTGCTGTTATGATGTTAAAAGATGAAGACGGAATTATTGAAATGTATAATAATATTGATAGTGTTAATATTGTTGAAAAGGTGGGTAATCAGTTTAATGACCGTAATGGCTTTTGTTCAATGTATATTAATATTTGTATTCTTCGGGAAGCACTCAGAAAGATGACGGACAATGATGATTTAAGAATATCAATACTTAAGACAATCGCGGGAATGTGGAATGATATAGGAGAATGGAAAGAAAGAACCGCCCATAAACCCTAGGAATAAAGATATTTATCTGAGTGTCTAAAAGGGTTGTTGAAGATTTTAGGGTAGATGGTGGTATAACGTGATAGGGGGCTATTTGGAGGGTAATATTGGAATGGTAAGAACGAAGAAGGAGACATGAAGGGAAAAGTTAGAAAAAGTATGAGGGCGAAAATGGAAAACATGACAGACGAGACAAATACTTAAGCGAGGGTATGGGATACTGGGGTGAGAGAAAAAACGAGTGAGAGGAGGAAGTGAGAGAGGAAAATGAAAAAACGAGTAAGGGGGATTGAAAATAAAACGAAGGAGAGACCCATGAAGTGAGACAGACCGTAGAGGAGGAAAATAAGAAACGAGGGAGGAGACGATGGTTGAGAAAAGTTAGTATACAGTGAGAGAAATGAACAAATGAATAAGACACGACAACATAAAACGCCCAGACCGTAGAATCCCCCTTTTAACAATTTTTTCCCCCCGCCGGGCCAGTAAACAATCAGTCCGGCAAGCAACACTCAGCCAATCATGCTGCGCGCACAGAACGACAACTTGCTGCACTCCGCGGCCTTCGATGCTTTTTTTTCCCGTGTGCACTGGGATCTTCCGAGGCTGCCTAACCGGGCCCAAGCCCCCCGGTCGCCCTCCTTGCCCCACGCACGCCCCTTTGCGCGAATGTAGGAGGGATAGGTTGTATCTATTTGAAATGATGTTGCTTGTAAAACCGACCTTAAAAAATAGAAAAGGACTTTTAAACACCTGTATGCATCGAATCGAACCGACCCTAATTTCGCGGGGAGGTCCCCTAGGTATCTAAATCTGATGTTGCGGTCCGACTCCATAGCTAAATAACCCAAGTAACCACGCAAGGAGGGGGGATCTTCCGGGCTCAGCTTGACTGCGGACTCGTGTGCTGCTCCCCTGTGCACTCAAGCACGACTGAGAGCCCTTGGTGAAACTGCTTCTGACCAGCTGGCATCTGTTGCTGGTCCTGTACCCGCTGCATGCACCGCTTGACTTGAAAACTTGAACGGCGTAGCCTGCTCAAGAAATGTGAGCGTCGAACTGCTGACTGCTAATCCTGGAAGTCAAGCAAAGCCGCAGCCAAAAAAAAAAAGCGTCGGTGAATGCTGCTGCTACCTCAGCCGAGAAGCTCACACGACGGGGAGGATGCAAGTTCAAAGCGCTCAAACTCCAGCGCTGCTGAGGCACAGGCATCCAACTTACACATCGTCCGTCTTTTGTGGCAGCACGAATCCGTAGCAATCTTCCCTGCGAGCGGGACGACGGCAAAAACCCCTAAGCTGAAAAGTCATCGAAACCAAGTGCTGGGCTCAGTTGTGTCGCGCAGACTTGCTGACATCGTTTTTGCCATCACCCACTTCCTGTCCTGCAAAGTCAAGCTGAGGGGTACAGGGAGGGAGGGTGGGAGAGCGTTTGACGTGAAATGCTCTCCTGCTGGCTGTATATGTCAATTTTGAACGAAGGAATGGAGAGCTCCGCCTTGTTCTTTATTCCCTGAAGCAACCAGAAGTGAACTCAGATACCATGTGCGCTCAAGTATAAGGGCGAAGGCAACCCGTTTCTGAGCGCATGGCTTCCTTCAGGTCATCCACCTGACATCGCTCACCAAAAGCGCGGAGAACCACTCATAAACACAGAAACGTACTGAGGCAATCGATTGAGTGGCGCAGTTAAGGTCGCGGCATTCGCGAAGGCTCCTTTCACTTGGAACGCATTGCCCGTCGGCTCAAACTCCTCGCCATCCTCAAACTTCATTTGTGGCCGGCAACTTTTCAAAAGAGATGCGAACAAAATAAACCACCCGTCTTGGAGAATGCACAGCTTTCAACAAGGACAACATATGAATGCACAACCGGTATCCTCCGAGGGCCTGGCCGTGAGCTGTTTGTCCTGCAAGTCGAAGGTCATCGCTGCAAAAAAGAACTGACAGCAAACTTACAGACTCGCTCCAGCAATCCCGAGCCCAGCCCCTCCCCCACACCCAAGAACTCCACCACAGCGCTAACACTGCATGCGCACACAACGCCGTCCTTCCGGGCCAGCTCCCTCACCCAGACGACGGATGAGGAGGTCGTGCCTGCAGAGCCTTGCAGAACGCTAAATGTTTGTATCTCGTGATGGCCAATCAACTCCTACAACGGCTGACAGTGCGCAAGAGGCGGAGACAAAGCTAAGCCACGCCCAAAGCAGAAAACAGCTTTAGCGACGGCTGCTGCAGCGTACGAACCCCAAAATTATAATTTTGAAAACTGCCAAAAGGATGCTCAAACTGACGTCCACGCTGCTGTGAGCCATCAAAGCTTGGATTTCAGAAGTCACCTTGCGCAACTGCTCTTGCAAGAGCAACTCTTTGACTTGAAGCAGGCTGTTCTTGTGGAACCAGTAGCAGTGAAGGCCGTTTACTGCACCCATACACTCGTGACCATCGTAGAAATACATGGTGTTTCCCTGAGGAAAGTGTTGTTGGCGGGCTTCGTGCAACCACAGCAAGCTCGGGCTGTGCAACTTACCATGCTGCTCCCAGCTTTGGGATGTGACTTCCACAAAAGCTCCGTTCTGGCAGTTGCTGGCAATGGTTGACCACGCTTCCTCAGTGATTTTCTGATCGGTCAGTGTCCGGACAGGAACAGGAAAATGCAAACTAGCAGCATCTTCGTGTACCGGTGCAGTAGGGGCAACAACAATGTCAATCTCCAGGACCATACTTCCTGGCGGCACTGGCGGCCTGTGGGTTTGGACAGCTCGAGCTGCATCTTGGCCCACTCTTCGGGCGTCACGCGCCACCTTAAGGAGATCGTCTCTGAACTGATGACCAATCGCAGATCCATTGCCGATGTGTTCGGCATGCCGTCTGATTGTGTCTTCAGGTGCTTCTGGACGTTCCCTCAATACTGCTGCGATGACACGTCTCATTTCAAAGAAGACCTCATACCGTTGGTCAAATTCCCAACGTCCATGTTTACGCAGCATCGTTTTGTTTTCCTGCACCATCAATCCCAACTGCTGGAAAATGAAGCTGAACTTGCTCTCCACTTCCGCTCCCATCTGCGTGCTCAACATATCTCCCGGAACAGGTGGACCTCTAACCACATGTGGAACGGGAATCACTGCCCGTTGACCTCGTTGGTTAGCATGGTAGAAAATTGTCTGAAGATGTTGATTTGGGATAAGAGGCCGGGGATGCAGAGCCGGAGCATTCGGTCTGCTGCTCCAGCTGTGCGAAGCTGCCATCTTTGGCTGGTGGCTCTAGCGTTGGATACTGTGTGCTATCATGCGCCATGTGCCTTTTCAGTGTTGCCTCAAGTCATTCTTAGACATGCTCAATAGTGTCAGATTTGTAGTCACCCCGGAAGTGTTGTCCTGCTTGAAACCTTTCTCCATCCACTCCCACATAACCACATACATGCAACGTCCCTCGCAAACGCCACATCAAAACCAAGACTTTTATTTTACGGTTCGAACTTCCCAGATCGGTCCACACATATCTGCACGCTCTTTGCATCATGATGTTGCCACTGTGTGGGTCAATGCCTGTTCCAGCCGCTTCCAGCCCCAGATGTACAGCAAAAAATACTTTTGATGTGAAATGGCTGAGGCGGCACCTCCCTGCGAGTTGTCCTCAACAGCCAGTGAACAACGGAACACCTAAAACAATCCGTTGTAGACTTCTGGACGTACGTGCAAGTTGGAGTCCTGAGGCGACTCTCTGTGGGGAGGGTGTTCCCACTCTCCACCCTGTGCTGGCTGCAAGCCTCACTTGGACACATGCAGGAGAATCACGCACTTCGAAGCACTGTCGATTTTGCGACGCAAAGCCTCTAGCTCAAGGAATCTATGGGGCTCCAAAGCTTGCAAAGAATTAAATCGTGCTTTAAGACCACCCGGCAGCAGCTCGGACTCGCGGACCGCGTTCCGGGGCTGGCTGGCACCGATTCGACAGGGAAGGTGCGATTCGCTCGAAATCGTGCTCAAGCCAAGGCAGGGGGCGCTCCGAAATCGGGCTCGCAAAACGGCCGGCTGCCGGGGGCCGTCGGGGCGCACCCTCCCCGGGCGGCTTCAAAATCCAAAAAAATTGGGGTGCGGCATGGTGTTTTAGGGGCCTGGGGGGTTGGGGTGCAAAATCTCGGCAATGTCGAAATCGTTGCTCGAAAAGAAAAATTGGAGGAGCCCTCCGAAGCCAATCTGGTCAGGCTGCTCGACCTGTGGTCCATGGAATGGAAGCACCAAGTGCGCACTCGTGTTGTGGGCCCTGCAGCGTTCGAGAAGTACTGCACCCTGGGCTTCTTCGGGCACGGGGGGGTGTGCGGTATTTCCAACGCAACGAGGAAGCGAGCGGCCTGCACCGCAGTGAACCGCTTCTTGAAGAGTCGCTTTCCGAACGGCACCTGGACCTCCATCGCCGTGCTTTTCAATCCCCGCATGGGCCTGCACCGCGACATTCAGAACATGGCAGGGCACTTGAATCATGCTTTGGCTCTCGGCGATTACACCGGAGGGCGGGTGTGGATCGAAGACGACGAAGGGGACTCCACGGCCGTGCTCGCCGGCAAGAAGGGCGACCGGGAGCTGCGTGGGCGGTGGCTGAACATGCATGACAAGCCAGTGAGCTTCGATGCTCGCCGCTATCACATGGTGGAGCCGCACCAGGGCAGCATGTGGGCACTCGCAGCTTACGTTCCGCAAGCCTATGCTCGCTCGACCGAGCAGCACCGAGAAGCGCTGAGAGAAGCGGGCTTTCCGCTGCCTCAGCAGGAAGGCCCGGGGGACAGGCGAGACAAGCGAGACAGCTGAGACAAGAGTCTAAACAGACTAAACCTGTCTCAAGCCTGTCTCATGTGTCTCGCGGCCGGTTTTGAAGGATTTTCTCTCTCTGGGGAGGGTGTTCCAGCTCTCCACTCTGTGATAGCTACAGGCCTCAGTTCGAGACATGGGTCAGAATTCGGTACTTTCGAGCACTATCGATTCGCGGGCCTACGGCCCGCAGCTCCGACGATCTTAGGGGCTCTAAAGTCTTTGCAAAACGGGCTTTAGAGGAACTTTAAGGGCGCGCTACTTGCCAGCAGCTGACGAGCGCTCGCCGGCAGCTTAGGAGCTGCTTGCTGGCAACTTACGAGCTACTTGCTGGCAGCTTACGAGCACTCGCCAGCAGCTTACGAGCTCCTTACTGGCAACTTACGAGCACTCGCCAGCAGCTTACGAGCTGCTTGCTGGCAACTTACGAGCACTCGCCAGCAGCTTACGAGCGACTTAAGAGCTGCAGCCCAGCAGCTTACGAGCTGCTTGCTGGCAACTTACGAGCTACTTTCGAGCTGCTCCCACGCCCTCCGCGCCAACAGAGCGCGCGTAAGCGCGCGTCGCTCCCCCCGAACAGCTCCGAAGCACGACGGCGCGCCTCCAAACAGCTCGCGAGCTCCCTTTGCGCCCTCAAACTGCCTCCGAAGCCGCCTGCGCCCGTTTTGCAAGCACTTTGGAGCCCCTAAGATTGCGAGCCGTACAGCCTCCAGCCCTCAACATCGACTGGCCCTCCAAGTACCGAATTCCAGCCTATGTCTCGAAACTAGCCTCGTAGCTACTACAGAGTGGAGGCCTGGAACACCCTCCCCAGAGAGAGGTCTACCTCTTCGTAGGCACCGCTCGATCTTGGCATTTTCCATCCGACCCCTCCTGGTTACGCTCCAGACCTCCCGTCTTGTGCCGAGATTGGGGGTCTGGGTAGTCCACTTCTGCGTCGGTTCTGCTCGATCTCGGCATCTTCCAACCGACCCTTCCATGTGACGCCCCAGACCCCGCGGCGATATCCCGGGCCGTCCGTACGCCCGCCCTTTCGGCGGGAGCATACCGCAGCAGCGGCACCCTGCGATTCACGGCTTCCGTCAGCCGGCCCACCGCGTCGCTGTATTCCTCGCCTTCCTGGCGGGTTCTTCGCTCGTCCAGCCATTTGTTTAAGGCTCGGGCTTCCAGAAGCTCGTTGTATCTCTTGTGGAGCAGCGGATTCAAATTATAAGAAGGGTACTGCTTCCAGAAGCTCCTCAGCATCTGGGGCTCGTTCCGCCTTTTTTTTGGCGTGAATGGGCCTCGTCGACTACGGCTGTAGCACTCGGTCCCTACAAGCAAACAAACAATAAACGAAGCAAAAACCTACAAAGCGGTGAGACTAAAGCGAAGCTCGACAAGCTGCGGCGCACAGGCTTTGCCGGTGGTAGCCGTTCAGCAAACTACGAAGCCTCAGCGACCGATCCGAAGCAACAAAGAGCCGTCGCTCTGAGCCGCCCAAAGCAACAGGTGGAGCCAAATCCAAGCTCCGGCAGCCGTTCTAGTCTCGACAGACAACGGGCAGCCCCTGTGCTTTGTTTCATCACGATCGAGCACACCAAAGTCCAAACGTCCAATGCTCGCGGGCCGAGAATCCGGCCAAGCGGGAATTGAGTTGTTCGGCTCAACGACATCCAGCGCCTAATACCCGATGCTGGGACTTAGGAAACGGTGTGCAGTCCCGTGGCAAAGTTGCCGGCGGACGTTTCCGTCAGACAATGCGCACGGTCAAAATCGGCAGGTGTGCAGACTGAGCGCACGCAAGGTGTGTGTCGCCGATGCAATGCACGATGGAAGCCAAATTGGGTCGCCCAAGACAGCCGAAGTCATGGTAAGAGTCTGGCCGTGCTGAGGCCAGCATCCACGCGTCCCAGGCTGTTTGGAGAGTGCATCTAGGCCCGAACAAGGGTTCCACCAGGCAGCATAATGCACCCTGCGGAGTGCAATAAGAGGGAAGGTGCGGGGTCATGCCTCTGCCTGCCGTTGAGCATGTCGAAGCCCGAGAAATGACGTTGGCCGGATTCTCGCTCTACGCACTTGCCAAGGCAAGAGAGAAGGCCATACAATGTCAATAACGGACATCGACGTATGTCGACGTGCCGGCAAACCTAGGAGTCTCGAGGGATGGAGAGCACAGTGCAGGCGCCGCCCCTTGGCCCCAAGTCCAAATAGGCCCTGGAAGCGCGGCGCAAACGGAGTTTGGGTCGACCCTGCTCAGAAACAACCAGAAGCGGCAAGCACCAAAGGCTGAGACGGATGAGCCTCCAGACCACAATAGGAGGCCAATGCAGTGGGTGAAGGATTCTGAAGTGGTATCAGCCTTTCAAATCGGACAGGTGATGGGCCCAGCTTGTTGTCGGGCCGACTCCCATGCCGAAGATGTAGAAAGAACCACAACGACGTATGTCGTCGGTTTCACCGGCACAAGTCTAGCGGTGTCTGTGTCGTTGCGCGCAAGTGGCCAAAAAGGCCGGAGCCCATGGCAGTACAGACAGGGTGTGCGGTCAAGTCCAGCAAGCAAAAGGGCACCGAGCAGCACCGCCCTTTGGCCCGTGTTCCGCGTAGGCCGGCGATGACCGCTGACACGCCACCGAAGCCGATCCCGCTCAAAGTCAGCCAGAAGCGGCCAACACCCAGATGGGTCGTCGGGGCCCCACATACACGAAAGGCCAAGGAGTGAGATGTGGCCATCCTCTCATCCGTATGCACTTGACTGGACATACCGGTGCCCAATGAAATGGGTCCCCCGGCCGCACATTGGAGAACCGCTAGGTGCGAAGATCCCAGTGGTGTTGAGAGCGGGCCAGTGCTCTTACGCGTGGATGATTAAGCAAATCAATGCCCGAGTACCGACGTGGGCAGATGTTTCGCTCCAACACTTGCCACAATGCAGGAGCAGACTATTGTCAGAAAAGGGACATCGACGTATGTCGCCATGCTGGCAGCCTAATGCAACCCGACGCATTGAGGACCCAGCGTGGGCACCGCCTCGCTGGCTGGCCCCCCCCTCCGGGCACGTGCCAGGCAAGGAGGAAAACCAATCCGGTGTCATTGAGAACGAACATCGACGTATGTCGACGTCCAGGTGGCTCCACACGACGTGACTGGTCGGGACGCCGCGACCACCTGCCCGTCGCATTAGTCCCGTATTGCTCCGGCAATGGAACACCGAATGCCAAAACAAGACATAATGACGTATGTCGTCTGTCACGACCGGGGTGAGCGGAAATCACCGGGTAGAGCCGGACGCCTCATCGGACGGCCAGCTGTCTAGCAGGCGTTGCATGTCACGTCCATTCGAGGGGAAGTGACTCTCGTTCAATAGGTAAAGCATCTGGTAATTTCTGTCAGTGTACATTTCCTTCAAACGTGAAAAGGAATACTGGTGGTTGTCGTGGTCCTCACTATGAAGGTGTGGC